CCAGGGGCACATTTTTTATGTAGAGTTTGTATTACAACTATACCCCTTAGCCTCTTTATCCCGGTTAAATCTAACTATAATTACCAGCGGACATTACATACTGGCCAGAGGTTACCAGTTATACTAGACTTAATATAGAAAAATAACAGCCCGTTATATAGGTCACGTTACAAAGCAGGATACCTTATATCAGATCTAGTCAGTAACTCTAAGCTATTATATTATCTCCTTCGCGAGAAAACTAGCAACTTATTTACAGCAAGGGCTAGATTAAAACAATACCTATAGCTCTACTGATTATTCTTATTAGCTTATTAAGGATCTTCCCCGTGCTACATAATTTACTTATTGAAGCTAATACCATATAATATTTTCTAGGCTCCTCGGCGGCATCTACTGTATCGAAGAGAGGGCATGCAGCCCTCTTAATAACTACACTACGCAGCTCGAATTATGGCAACAAATTCTGTTATATGCCCCTACCCCTGGGAACTTCGGCTTTGAAATGCCAGCCTTTTGTAATCCCTCCCCTGCGTGTATATCTCAGGAATCTTTTATTTTATTACTTAAACTTCTACGTAAGCAAGTCAGCCTTTTTTATAATGCTGACTGGGATAATAAGAGTATATTATATATTATTAAATAAAAAATAACTATAAATAATCAGGTTGTGTTAAAAGACATTAAACAAGATTTAAAGCTAAAACCACGGTTTTACTGGCAAGCAATTACCAAAAAGGCCAAAAAAATTATAGGCCGGAAGAAGAACTCCAACTAATGTGTGAGATTAAATAATACTATAATTATGGTTTCTGTGAATGATTGTAAATATCACGATCTCACTAAACAATTTAAATATATTGATGTTAATTAGACCACTATAAAGAAATAATTTCTGTTATAAAGGCCATTTTTCTATGCAGGGAAAAAGTTAAGGCTTTCTATAATTATTAACTACTTAGAGGACAGCAACCCATCTCCTTCTTAAATAAATAAAAGAGGGCTAATATTAATAATAGCAAGAATACTAAAAAAATAAAAAACTTAAATAAAAACAGAATACTCTTCTGGGCAACCTGCTGCCTAGGAGGATATATATAAGATAATATATTACTCTGGTTGACCGTACTACTATAATAACTAGTTCTACTAGTTAGATCCGGCAGGGAAAAAGCATTATAAACTCTTATTATACCACCTGAGAAGTCTTGTTTAGCATGTGAAGGACAGAAATATTCTAGAGACCTATAATAATATTCTATATAAGGTTCGGGAAAGATTATATATAAAGGATAAAAAACAGTGTAAAAAAAGACAGAAACTAATTAGCCTAGTAAATAGATTAGTCCCTTCTATTAATATTTATTTCCTTCCGGTATAGTTACCCCAAGTATTAATAATTCTAACAGGCAATATTGATAGTCATATGTCAGGGTCTGATTAGGCTGAAAAAATTAATATCTCCGGACTTTTTAAAATAGCAGTAGATAACTACACTAACTAGCAGCTAACCCGGGTAAATACTAAACTTTTTAAAAATAATATTAAAAAGGCCCGAGATATTATATTAGAAAATTATCTCGACCTTTCATAGGTTTATTGCGAGGTTAAGCCCGAGTTTTATGTTGAACAGGGTGTGAAGATAAGAGTTGCCCGCAGGTTTGTGCGTGATATTAGTCTATAGGTAAAGACTTGTACACATAAAGATAGTGACGATAATATTTATTAATATAGAACAGGAGAGATATATATTTAGCTTTAATAGTTCTGTGTTATCTTATATATCCCTGATAGGTCTTAAACTTAAACAAGACATAAAAATTCTTTAAAAAAAGCAAGCATATTTGATTATTATCTACTTAACTACTTTAATCCAAGGAAATAATAAATATATAATTATTATTTTAACTATATTCAAAGATCCTCTTCAAGCTCTAAACAGATAATATATTAACTAAAACATGCCAAAATGTGCAACAGCCCACAACATAATATTACTATCAACTATCCTTTAATCACTAAGCCTATATTACGGAAATATCCTTTAGTACTCTCCTTCCTTGCGCCTACAACATCTACACACCACTTAAGAAAAAAACCAAACCCTTAATTAGGGTTGTTTTTATAAGATTACTAATTCTATTAAATAAACGACTTTAATTCCGCAAAGAATTCTTTAATAAGATTCAAATCAGGCAAGTAGGATAGTAAATATACTAATATAACCCCTCTTTAAAAACATATTTCTTTAATCCTCTCTGAATAATAAAATAAAATATTATCTATTACCAGAACAGATTTAGGCTTAGAATATCTTCCATAATAATAAAGGAGTTCCTTAATAAAGTCCTCAAAGCAAGATGCGTCAGTTGAACCTTAAAATATACAAAAAAAACAATATTATTATAAGTATAGGCTAGAAAAATATAATAGCGCTGGCCTTAATAAAACTTTGTAATATATATAAGCACAATACCTAACAGAAACTAACCAGTCCTTCTAGTTCTTATTTACCTATTATATCCTGATTTATTAACAAAAACAAATTAGCTAGACTAGAAATCTAAGATAAAATTAGTATACTTGTCTTATAAGTTAGTATTTTACTTAATAGCCTTTTACTTGGCTTTCTTCTTTGACCAGCCTTTATCTAAGAGCGCATGTCTAATGCTGGATTTTGATACTTCTTTTTAAAATATATTATATACAAAAACCACTATTTTATCCAAGTATAAATAAGGCTTTTCAAGTAAATAATCATAAAAACTTTTAATTATAACCGGGATGAGACTCCGCGGCCGTCTATCTTAATTTAAGGGGGCTTTTATCATACCAAACATGCGTTTATTAGAACATAGTCTTCTAATAATATATATTTATAGTAGTCAGCCGCTTCAGCTATTTAGACAGCTATAAATTCTTTACTTATTATTATATCATCAATAAGCTGCAGAGTAGGCGCGGCTAAATTAGATGCTATCCTATTATACACAATATAAAACATATGATCGACGGTTGAAGTAGGAAGGAATGTTAAGGTAGGGGCTATAAGATACCGCAGTACCAATGTGGCTGATGATATAATCACATGGAGTTATATAACGGTATACATTGATATAATACATGGCCTATGTTTTGAGACTAGCCAAATAAGGACTAGTGCCATCATGGCGAAGGAATTGGAAAACAATTAATGAATATAAGACCCGGGCGCCGGTAGTGAACTCCAGTGTACAGCTCAGCTCTTGGGGGTGTTTTCGCTCCCACGGCTAGTCTCTATCCTCCTGATAACTTAGCCGTATTACGCAAGAACCAAATTACTCTGAAGAACATATCTAGAGATCTCAAAATCCGGTCGGGGGATCCAATAAATTGAACCCTATCCTGCTGGAAGGTCTGACCCGCTCCCAGAACCATCAGTACTGTAACATTCTTGGGAGATATATGTACAGCGAACAAACATTCTGCTATCTGTGGGAGTTATCGTCTAAACCCATAATAAAGGAGAGAGTATAAGGCGGTGAAGTATTCATTTACAGTACAGTACAATGAACGATAGGACGGCATAAGTGTTGTGGATTCGGGCTTTCTGGTCTAGTCCGATGACGGATATAGTGGAGAGTTAAGGTGAGTTGGAATAATTTCTTGCAAGAGACCTGGGGGATGCTAAGGTATTAGGAAATGCACGGACCTACGATGGGGGCAATTCCCTCCGGCTTGGCACTTACCCCCGTGGGTATACCCACTGGGTAACTATACCCACGGGGGTAAGTTAGGTAAGCCCTTAATAGCGAAGGCTAACTAACTAATAGTCTCTGGCGCAGAAGCCGTTTGAGTTCTTAGGGTGGTGGAGGCTAGCCGCAGGAACTCAATTTGAGAGGAAAAACGCACTCCCAAAAGCTAAGTTGCATGTTCAAAGCAAATCCTAGTTTGCCAGGATGGTCTACTGTTCAATAAGACTATAGAAAAGCGTGTCTGCGACAATTGCCCAGTCGCCCTATAATCTTGACTCTAGGTTAGGTACTGTACATATTAATATTGGTTACACTGAGATTCGAAACCTCATTCACCCCTGCGAAAACGAAGTTCATTCCCAACCCCTAACGCTAAGAGGGGAATCCACCTAGCTAGACCATATTGGGACAGACTGTAATCTAGATATTTTTAGAAACTGATGCGGAACGGACCCAAACCAAAACTGCTCACAATTTTACTGTTCTGTATTGTACCATAATTACACTCTCTCCTTGATTCCCCCACTCCTTGTTGCCGCTGTCGGTCATCAGTCAAGAACCTCGCTCCACATCATGGCATATCGTTAGCCTGACAGCGTGGGCTTGTGTATAATCAATCCACTTGGAACTATAATGCTGACTATCAAGAGTAAATGTCTCGGGACATGTGTGATAGACAAGCCACTGCGACTGCTGTGCTGTTACTTACTGCACAATAATGAATGGGTTAATCTCGCACACGCGTGGCCTACGTTCTGTGCACCAATAACAAAGAAGCTTATCTTGTCTTCAGCCTCGCTCTTAGCGCCTACCCCTTACCTCTGTTATCTTACCTGTGACCAACCTTCTCTTCAGCAACTTCCCGAGAACATTACAGGATAGCAGGCCTTACTATTGATGAGAAAAGCTGCCCCAAGCAGTTTAATATAGAACCGCTCTCTAGTGCAGCAAGTATCATTGCAATCATCCAAATCACTAGGGCTATTACTAAGATATGCGGAAGTTATATTAGCAAAGTTAAAGAGGCAAGGCAAGATATTCTCTATCTACAAGAGGAGATCGATGCCCTCTCCCAGATACTTAAACCCCTTGAGAAGCTTCTTCATAACCAAAACCCTAGGAAGCCCGGTGCTTCCCAAAATTTAATCAATAATGTCACTAAATGCTCTTCAACCCTCACGAGATTAAGGGATAAAATCGACCCAGAAGCAACACAGACCCCAATAAGGAAGTGGGGACTTCGAGTATTAAAATGGCCAATAAAAAATGAGGAGGTGGTCAAGGTTATTTCTGAAATCAAGAGATATAAGACCTTATTCGCGTTGTCGTTGGCCGTGGACCTACAGTAAGTATATAATTGATGCTTCAAAATATGAAGGAACTGACTTAAAATCAAGGCAATCTACCAATTGTCTTGATCAAAAGATAGACCTCGGCCGGTTACACATCGCAAAAGGCGCAGTGTTTAATGACTATGAAAATCAACATACCGAATGCCTCCCAGGAACTCGAGTAAAGCTACTTCGCGAGATTTACCGCTGGATCGAGGCTCCTGATGGAAAATGTATATTCTGGTTAAATGGCATGGCCGGAACAGGAAAGTCAACTATTACCCGTACTGTTGTAAGCCGCCTGAAGGGGCAGAGTCTCCTCAGGGCTAGCTTTTTTTTTAAAAGGGGCAAACAGGACCGAGGAAATGCTAAATTACTTTTTTCAACACTTACAAGACAATTAGGAGGCACTGTACCTTAACTTGTGCCCGGCATCCAAAAGTCAATTAAGGATGATCCCTATATTTCGGGAAGAGTGCTTAGAGAATAATTTGAGAAGCTCATACTGCAGCCACTTATTGCTGTTAACCCAGACGCAAATTCAATTATACTAGTTGTGATTGATACACTGGATGAATACAACCAAGATGGTGATATCTGAGAGATTATTTGACTTCTACCACGTGTCCAGGAGTCCCGCTCAGTACATCTCCGATTCCTGCTCACAAGCAGGCCCGATCTACCCATCAGGCTAGGGTTCCAAGGTATCAAAGGTGATTATCAATATCTGATACTTCATAAGATTCCGAATCCTGTGATAAAACGCGATATCAGATTATACTTTAAGGAGAAATTCCGACAGTTATAGTAAGAGCGCGACCTTCCGGAAGACTGGCCAGGGGACAAAACAATAAATACACTTGTCAAGAGAGCTATCCTATTATTTATTTCCGCCACTACGCTTTTTCGATTTATTAGTGATGACTGCTGGAGTGCTACCGAGCGCCTCAGAGTTATTATGAGTGACAAAACCAGATATGTGACAAAAATGGAGGATACCTATATGCCTATATTAGATCGACTTCTTACAAATAAGGATAAAAAGGAATCTTAACAGTTAGTACAGGGATTTAAGAATACAATTGGCATCCTTATTCTCCTTGCTACTCCTTTATCGGTATATTCTCTTGCTAAGCTGTTACAGCTGGACACAGATCAGATCCAGATACAATTCAAACTGTTCTACTCTGTCCTTGATGTTCCTGCCAGGGCAGAGTATCTAGTCCGAATCTTACATCTTTCATTTCGGGATTTTCTTCTTGATAAAAAACAGGAAGGAAAGCTATTCTAGGTTAACAAGAGAGCGGTGCATGCTAAACTGACTGTACAATACCTTAAGCTCATGCAGGATAATCTCTATGGACTACGGAGGAATATCTGCAATCTAAAACATGATACAGTACAGCGGAATGATATAGATAAACAGACTCTGAGATATTCCCTGCCGCCAGAATTACGTTATGCGTGTTAGTATTGGATGTATCACCTGCTACAGAGTCATAGTCCAGCTAATAAGCTAGTTCAAGCTCTTTTATTCCTCCAGTCACACTTTCTTTATTGGGTTGAAGTGATAAGCCTTTTGGGCATCATATCTGAACTTGTTGAGATGATCCAGAGACTGCGGTCATCTATACAGGTACATAGGGGCAATTTTAGTGCACTATTGAATACTAATAAATATAGGCTGATGAAACTCCTATAATATCGGGTTTTCTATATGATGCTTGGCGGTTTATTCTTTAAAATCGGCATATTGCTGATATTGCACCCCTTCAGCTTTACTCAGCAGGATTAATATTTACTCCGGAGAAATCAGTCATTAGGAGCATATTTAAAAGTGAATTATCAAGATGGTGTCAACTGCCCAGAGTTGAGGAAATGTGGACTGCGAATTTACAGACCCTCGAGGGTCATTCCAGTCCGGTTCTGTCAGTAGCCTTCTCACCGGACAGTCAACTGCTAGCATCTGGCTTTGGTGATAACACCGTCAAGCTCTGGGATCCCCGTACAGGCGAGCTGCGCCAGACCCTCGAGGGTCATTCTGATTGGGTTTGGATCGGGACTAATATTGATGCATTGTCTTTACTCGAAAAGCAGTGGATCTTTTGTAAAGGAAAAAGCAGATTATGGCTTCCCCCTAACTATCGTCCAAGCGGCCTGGCGTTCAAAGCAGGCATTATTGCCCTTGTCCATCCCTCTGGTAGAATCTCTTTTATCTCAGAGTCTCGTTAACTGCTGCATAATAAAGATATACTTTCAAATTCTCCTATATATTCAAATCTCTTTTCAAAAAGAGGGCCTGGGAAATTAGAAGAATTCATACCCTTCTCTTTACTATTTAGAACGCCTGAGATATTTCCACTGGTTTCTAGCTTATGCACCGACTGAGAGATAGAACCTTCCATCAGATTCCACCATGTGTATTAGTTGTACCAATTTTCACATAATGTAATATTATGTTACAAGACAGATACTGTATAAATTACACCCCATGATGTCATAATTTATTTTAGCCCCTTGGCATTAGGGTTTGGGAAGAAGCTTCGTTTTCGTGGGGGTGAATGAAGTTTCGAATCCGAGTGTAACTGAAAATCCTATATTAAATTATCTAGCGGACCCGGTCGATTAACCGATCGCATCTACCGTAATATGTTCCCAAATCACCGTATTCACCCGGTTTTGATTCCCGGCAGGTTCGCACTTGGGGCGCATCCATTTATGACATGGGTATGCTTCCATTTGTCCCGCCTGATCCTATGGACGTCCTTAGGATACAACCTTTTTTCCCCTACCTCTAAGGTAGTATGGTACTGGGGGAGGCTGCTTAGTCCCGAACCACACCTATTGTGTTCGAGTTGACCACCTTGTCATCGACTGAGACGGGATTTCCGAGGGGTTTGCAGGAAACAGGACATAGATGGCGCGGGTACGAACTGCATATTTGGTAACTGCAGCCAACCCTATGATAGGGTGTCTCCCTAGGAGTCTGAGGCGGAAAATTAGTTTTTCCTACTCCGTACGAAGGTGACGACTCCCCTTATACGAAGTGCGGATTATTATTGTTATTGCCCTATAAGCAACCGAAGTTCGCCTTCAATAAACTGTTTTTATCATTTATTTAGTGTTCTAGCTCCGATACAAGTCCACAGTCACTGATTCTACCGCTTACTAGAACCTTTAGTAACAAGCCTTTTTTCTACCTGTATATGACATTTTTGGTCTACCAGTCTAACATTGTTTATCAAGTACAGAAGCCATGTCTACTCTTCACTGGAAAGACGAGGATTTCTATCACCACCATCCTTCCTACAAACAGCAAAGAGACGCCTGTATCAATAGAGTAAATTGGGACGCGCTATGCCGATACGCCTCATCGAAAAACTCAGGCCTTCCTTGTGTCCTCCTTGATAAAAGTACGATCGGTGGAATACATCTCATAAGGCTTCTGAGCTTTGGGAAATTTTCAGCTATAAGATTTATCCCCTAAGCTGCATCTCACATGTCAACACTTTACCTAAACAGGACTTAAACATGGAAAATCCAGATCCTAAGTAATGTTACCTAGGCATCCCTTATCGCTTATACAGGATAATAGTCTATAATGCGGGGATCCGGTCATCCATATTGTAAAACGCTGGTATTGGTTCTGGACAAACTGCGGGGATATACGGGCCACATCCTGGTTACACCTTGTTTTAGGTGCTGGTAGGACATGAGTGTGACAGTTTAAGCCAGTGACGAATACACCCCGAGATTATTGGGCTCAGTAACGCCTTACCTAAATAGGATAATAATCTTTTATACATAAGATCCTTTTATTATTTTGGCATTAATCTTCTATATACGACTCCTAAGTGTTTAGGATTACATCTTTATAAGTATGCGGTAAAGTTCTATCTTATGAACAGTCTTTATCTCTTATTATGAAACGTTTCAAAGCCTTGATTTTATATTTGACTAAGTACACAAAACCCCGAGAGTCAAATATTAGGTCAGACTCATACTTGGCCTATCCGAGAATAACAACAGTTAATGAATTAGATAAAATTGCGGTCAGGTCTCTTCCTTATTATCATCATATATGTTAATAATAATATAGCCTCATGCATGTATCTCAAAGGAGATCGAAGACCAATTCATTCTGACTATTACTATCGAGGAGACTGTGGACTGCTGGAAACATGTCAGCTTTCAGAAATATATAGTCTTGCAAGATATAGTTAGGAGGTCGGATAATGGAGAATGACTGTTAGAATATTGGAATAAACAGCAGGAAATATAAGCCGATTTTGCTAGCTTCTTGCTTTTTATCTCTATAAGTTTATAAGGTAACTAAGAATATCTAACAGCTCTTACTTATTAAAGTAGATAGTAAGATAAATATCTTGATAGAAATATATGTGAGGATATCAGATACTACTAACTAGACTAAAAAGCCTAGCTGGGTACTGGGTAGCCCTTGCAGCATCTTATATGTCAATAATATCTATGTATCCAGTGGTATATACGACTCCGATCTGTGTAAATACGAGGACTAATAATCTTATTGTACACTGAAATGATATAAAGAGAAGTCTGTATCAGGTATTTCAGCTCATAATAGACTACTCTACTGAGTATATCATCTATTTAAAAGGTAGGATATCCTTAGATTTCTGTATCTTAAAATATTTTTCAGTATATCAGACAATAGCTCGAGTCTCTAGGGCCTGTGATTATTGCCACAAAAACCATATAAAAGTAAGATTATTTATGCTCCTAAATAATATTATTCCTTATATTTTATAGTGCTCGGATATAAAGCCTTGCTATATATATGTAAGATTAGATAAATATTGTTTACAGATGCGGTCCGGTAGGATTACAAGCATAAATCCATCCAGACCGATCCTGATTATAATAACTATAGAACCAAGTTTTATATAATATTTTAAGCAATATAATATTAAGCTTTCTAAGGTCACAATTCAAAAGCTAGAAATATCACATAGAACTATTTATTACAAAAGTAAACAAAAAGCCTTATATAGGGAATTGGCTGCCACATTAGAAAGATATATTTTTTTAATAAAGTATTATTTATTTAAAACTCCTGAAAGTAAGGTTTCTGCGGAGGCTTTCCCTAAAATTATATCTGATATTTCAGAGATATTTTATTCTGATTCTCCTTTATATACTTGTTAGTTTGGTCTTTCTAGTTTTCATAGTTTTAATTCTGTATAAATTAAAATCCACTTGTCTCATACCTAATAATAAAGGACAGCTGGAAAGCTAGATTATAATTTATATTATAAGAGTAGGGTCTAAACTTGTACTGCGTTTATAATAATATGGATTTAGTTATAAAATAAGTTTAAAACAGATAGTAAGTAGCCACGCGGCCTATAAAGAGACTACTAAAAGATAGTAAGTAACCATACTTGGTATCAGTCATATCTATTTTTAAATATGGGAGTATCTTCAAGCAGGCAGCTTGTCTAAAAGTTGACTATTGCCTGTGACTGAGCGGATCAGAAAGATAAAAAGTAGCACAGGGCGGGGGGCTAATAGATCCACTATTATGTTTTACACATGCTCTGTTGCTTCAGGTCTAGAGGCTTGCATTATTATAGTCCATTTAGAACTGATTATGGAAGCTGTTATATCTTGCGGCCACAATATAAAAGCCTGAAATCCAATATAAGTATATCAAAATATTAAAGCAAATCTCTAAACATAGTGGAGAAAAATGGTGAATCCTGAATATCACTCATATATAAGATAATTACTAAGTACCTTATAGGCTACCTTTCCTATTTCCTAGGCCTTCACAATCTTGAGTAATTAATTCAAGAAAGGCCAGCAATACTACTTCACAAAATTCAGAATAAAGATACTATTAAAAAAGCTTTTTAAACTTATACCAGGCATTATAAAAAGTTATCCAGCTCTAGCACCTATATTAGAGAGCATATCTAATACTATAATTCACCAGTGCCAAATATCTAAGTTAAAGATAACCAAAGATACTATATCAGGTCTTTTTATCCAAGCCAAAGATCATCCGCTTAATATTCCCGTGGTCGAGCTTTACGGATTCACTCCCACCGGGCCTAGTAGCGAGCTTTTAAATATCTATGCGCGGGCTTGGCTCTTAGAAAGCCAAGTATATTATCTCTTTACAAAGTTTTTGCGTCTTTATTATTAATACAACTTACTATCCTGCCGATTAACTGTGAAGTTAAATATAAACCAGGGATCTATAATAACCTTACGCCAGTCACAAAGAATAAAGTCGCAATATAAGAGACATCAGAATAATAAACTTAAGTAACATACAAGCTTTTAGGGCTGATATTTAAAGCCATGGTTAATAAACTATAGGAGCTTTAATTAAATCCCTTATATATAAAAACCTTTAATAAAACATTGCTTATATATACCATCTGGATAATAAAAGGGAAAGTAGAAATCCGAGATTTCAGTATAAACCCCTATTATATCTATTCTACAACCTAGACAGCATAAGGCCCAGTACTAACTTACCAGCCGCTCTCAGGCAACTATAGCAATCTTGTTTGCGCGATCAAAGATAGAATTATAATAAAATTTGTTAATACAAGAATAACAGAAGATATAGCTGTATCTCAGGACTAGCTCAACACTTTTGTTATAACATATTTTACACATAAAGTCTGTTTCATTAGTTATTTTGTTAGGCTTATTATATCTAGTGTCGGCCGGGTCATCTGCTATACCAGTTAGTATCATGATACTACTTCCATCCCCTGCCATTGTCAATCTTACCATGACTACCAACTTTTCGGTTAATAACCATAACCTTGAAGTTCAAAATTAAGGGCTAACTTAACATTATAGCTAAGAAATTATTACAGTAAGCCGTAGATAAGTGGTAATCTTGGTTTTATGTTCCACATACTTGGTACAGTATAACAAAAACTAGGCATCATGATTTACGAAGATATAGTCTATAAATACTTTTTCTAATAGTTATAGTTACTCTATCAAATATCCAGAAAACTGAGAAGTAAGGTAATAAATACTGCTATTCTGGCAGCTTTTAAATAATTACTTTTATTTTGTTTATTATAGCCGATTCCACAGTTTATTAATTAATCAAAAATAGCTTATCTCCCTACGGGAAGCATCCAGGACCTTATTTCTGTTAATTATTAAGGAAATAGATTTAAATTTTAGTTTCTTCTTTTAATCCGAGATACTCCCTACAGCCCTCCAGAGAGCCAGACCCTTAATGAAAATAAAGAACTTAAACTTTAATTATTATCTTTTATCCGGGATATTTCTTACAGCCCCCCAGAGAGCCAGACCTTTAATTATAATAATAAACTCAAGTTTTATTTGCCTTTACTCCGAGAATAAAATATTATCTCTAATAATACTCTTTACAACCCTCCAGAGAGCCAGACCTTAGATTATAATTTTAAAAATATTTAGAACCAGATTCCTGTTAATAACTATTAAGAAAATAAACTTAGATTTTAATTTTCCTTTTTTATCCGAGAGCCAAGTATTATTTCTGGTGATACTATACTAGATATCCCTTATAGCCCTCCAGAGAGCAAGACGTTTAATCAGGAACCCAGCCTAGCTCAGATATAAAGCTATAAACTCTAACTAGGAAGTGTATACCACGAAACCTCAGGATTAAAGCTACTATTCGGAGATAGTAAGTCAAGTCTGATTAAACTGCTAATAGATAATTAACTAATCTTATAGTTACTTTAAATTTCTTTCTAATATATATAAACAGTGATATTGCAGGGTCTACGGTGCTCTATTTAGTATAGTAATTAAACATGGATGACAGTAAATAATACCTAGGTCTTCAGATCAAGTAGTGCTCTGAGGCTAAATAAAATCAATAAAGGTAATCAGGATCAGCTTAAAGTATATAACTTCTTTTGATAGGTAACTGCATATATATAGTTCAGGCTGTATACAGAGCTAGCCTAAATTAGATAATATAAGCAAGAATTATAGAAATATTAGGTATTCTAAGATAAAACTTATAAGAAAGATTAATTAATTTTAACTAAATTAAGCGAGTAAGGCCTTTAGGAGCACCGGGGCTGTTTAATCAAGATAACTGCGGCTATTTATCAGGTTGCAAGGCATAGAGCCATTAAAACTGGCTACTGAGGCCTATCAAAAATTAAGCCACTAAGGCCTTTAATAATTTTAAGTACTATCTAGATGATAATATTACTTAATCTATATTTTAATTATAGTATTTCCCAGCTATTTATAACGCTTTCTCAGGGGTTAAATTAATAAAAAGATCGTTAATTTATGACTTTATTTTATAATATGGTGAATTACGTGATTTCGGATATTTAAATAAGTAAGGTAATAATTAATTAGTTAATCGCTCCACCACCTGAACTGTAATACACCCCTTTATCAACAAGTGAGGTCTAATTGCCTTCTTAAGCAAGGATGAGATGTTTAATATTAATAAGATTCAACATCCTGAGAAACTTGTAGTATTTCTAACTAAGGAGAGCCTTAATAAAACTATTAGTGATTATCCGGTTAGTAGGGA